AAACCATATGGCTAAAGACTGCAAGAGGCCAAAGAAGACTGGGCCAAATAAAGGGCAAACGAGTGCCCTTGTTGCTGAACACGGCCCTGTGCCGGGTGAACTAACCGACTTTGATATGTCAGTCATGGTGTTTGAAGCCAATTTGGTAGATAACCCAAGAGAATGGTACATCGATACTGGTGCCACTCGTCATGTGTGTTTCGATAAGGAGGTGTTTTCTGAATGCACTCATGCTAAGGATCGGAAACTTCACATGAGAAACTCCTCCATGTCTGATGTGGCTGGAGTAGGCACTGTGGTGCTGAAACTCACTTCTGGAAAGGAGTTGAAGCTTAAGAATGTTCTGCATGTTCCAGACATTCGCAAGAATTTGGTCTCCGAATCTCTTTTTGTTGAGCATGGATTTAGGCTGGTGTTTGAAGCTAAGAAGTCTATTCTTAGCATGTTTGGAATATTCTTTGGTCGTGGTTATCTCGACAAGTTTTGTTCAAAATGAATGTAATGGTCGTGAGCCATGTAACCGTTTATTATGATAATGAAAAGCCTATTTTGTTTATACCGTCGACTGCTCTGACTTATGGCATATTATATTGGGACATGTAAATCTAAATACAATTAAACGATTGATGAATCTAGAATTAATTCCTAATTCTAAAATCGAATCACATAAGAAATGTGAAATTTGTATTGAAGCAAAAATGGCTAAGTTGCCTTTTCACTCGGTGGAAAGGAGTACTGAACCATTAGGCTTGATCCATATTGATGTATGTAATATGAAAAGTGTGCAAACAACAACAACTAAAAAGTATTTTATTACTTTTATTGATAATTGCACAAGGTTTTGCTACTTATATTTGTTAAGAAGCAAAGATGAGGCCGTGGAAGCATTTAAAGTCTATAAGACCGAAGTTGAAAATCAACTCGGCAAAAGGATTAAAATAATCCGAAGTGATAAGGGTAGGGAGTATGTAGTTCCTTTTGAACAAATATGTTCTGAATATGGCATAATTCATCAAACGACAGCCCCCTATTCTCTGCAGTCGAACGGTATTGCTGAACGCAAAAACTGAACTTTAAAAGAAATGATGAATGCTATGTTGATTAATTCAGGATTACCACAAAACATGTGGGGGGAAGCTGTTTTAACAACAAATCACATCCTAAATAAAATACCACCTAAAGGGAAAAATGAGACTCCTTACGAAATGTGGAAAAATCGTAAGCCGTCTTATAAATACTTGAAAGTGTGGGGGTGTTTGGCTAAGGTTTCAGTACCTGAACCTAAACAAGTGAGAACCAGACCAAAGAAGGTCGATTGTATATTTATTGGATATGCGTATAATAGTACTAGCATATAGATTTATGGTTCATAAATAAGAAAATCTAGAGGTATCTGTGGGTACCACGATTGAGTCGAGGAATGCTATATTCTTTGAGAATATTTTTCCTCTGAAGGAAAAGGCGAAATCTAGTTCTAATAAACGAACATATGAAACTGCTAGTGGTTCTGTACAAGAGGATACTAATGAAGAACTGAGACATAGTAAAAGGGTAAAAACGGTTAAAACGTTTGAACCTGATTTTATCACGTACATGTTGGACGATGAATCGAGTTCCCTTAAGGAAGCTCTGTCCAGTCCAGATGGACCACTCTGGAAAGAAGTTGTAAATAGCAAAATCGAGTCCATTATGTAAAATCATACTTGGGAGTTGGTTGATCTCCTTGATGGTTGTAAACCTTTAGGATGCAAGTGGATCCTAAAGATAAAATATAAAGCTGATGGATCGATTGACAAGTTTAAAGCACGTTTGGTGGTCAAAGGCTTTAAAAGAAAAAAGGAAGGGTATGATTTCTTTGATATCACCAGTTACTCGTTTAACGTCGATAAGAGTTCTTCTCTTGATTGCTGCTTTGCACAATCTTGAGATTCACCAAATGGATGTCAAAACGGCATTTTTGAATGGTGAATTGGAAGAAGAAATATACATGGAACAACCTGAAGGATTTGTTGCACCTGGCCAAGAGAGAAAGGTGTGTAGATTAATCAAATCCTTGTACGGACTGAAATAAGCTCTAAAACAATGGCATTTGAAATTTGATGACGTGATGTTGACAAATGTTTTTAAAATCAACGAATGTGATAAATGTGTTTATGTCAAAAGTACATCAAATACATTTGTGATTGTATGTCTATATGTAGACGATATGTTGATCATGGGGAATAACCATGAAGTGATCATGGATATGAAAAGAATGTTGAAGAGAAGTTTCGACATGAAAGATATGGGTTTGGCTGATGTTATTCTTGGAATAAGGATTATCAGAACCAAAGATGGAATTGTCTTGTCACAATCTCATTATGTAAAGAAAGTGCTCAAGAAATTTGATACATATGACAGTGCACAGTCTAGGTGTAAAACACCCCTTGATCTCAGTATAAATCTGGTAGTCAGCAGAGGTCAACCAGTGACTCAATTGGAATATTCACGGATAATAGGGAGTCTGATGTACTTGACGAATTGTACACGACCAGACTTGACCTATTCGGTGAATAAGTTGAGTAGATTTACGAGCAATCCCAGTTATGAACACTGGAATGCTTTGAGAAGGGTACTTAAGTACTTGAGGTACACCCTTGAATACGGGCTAAAATACTCGAGATATCCAGCAATACTAGAAGGGTACTGTGATGCAAGCTGGATATCAGATTCAAAAGATTCTCGCTCCACTAGCAGATATGTTTTCTGTATTGGAGGAGGTGCAGTTTCGTGGAAATCCACAAAACAAACGTGTATAGCTCGGTCAACGATGGAATCAGAGTTCATCGCTTTAGATAAAGCTGGTGAAGAAGCCGAGTGGCTTAGAAATTTTTTATCCGATATTTCATGTTGGGATAAGACTTTGCCGCCTGTGATGATTCACTGTGATAGCCAAGCTGCTATAGGTAGGGCGCAAAGCAACTTGTATAACGACAAGTCTAGACATATTCGTCGTAGACATAATACCATACGCCAATTGATCACAAATGGTGTTATTTCCATTGACTATGTAAAGTCTAAGGAAAATTTGTCTGATCCTTTGACGAAAGGTTTGAATAAAGATCAATTGGGAGTTTTGCTAGAGAGAATGGGCTTAAAAATCCACAATGTAAAGAATGATCATAGTGGTAACCCTACCATGCTGAGTGGAGATCCCACGAACTTGGTTCAAAAGGAAAACTAAGCTATGAAAATTCAGTTGAACACTTCAAACATATGAATGTCCATAGTTATTCCCTAGAGCATTCCAAGTGCAAGATTACCTGTTGATTGTGGTGGGGGTAAGTCCTGTGGGCTTTTAATGAATCTCTAACTCTGTAAAGGTGGAGTATAACATGATACTCTTAATAGGGAGGTCACCTATATAAGTGTGAAATGTGAGCCGCTTCAATTGCAAACACTGATGAATCCATTGTGTTGTCCATGGCCAAAACGGACACAACGTTAGAATGGAATGAAGTTAAAACTCTATTGTGTGAATTTCATTGTCTAGGTGTACACTATGGAGGAATAGTTCAAGACATTAAGTTCACTAGGCCGCCAGTACATCCGATGATGTTTACTAAGAAAGGTTCAAAGCCGAAAGCTACCTTCTCTGATGCAATAGAGTTTTGTGAGGATTGAACACAATAGTATATATATTTAATTTACACTCATGTGGGGGATTATTGTAATTGAGTGTAAATTGGGGAAAGATTTCTTAATTATTTTGTGAATTATGCTACATAGCCAACCTCCATTACAATTTGGTTTACAACCAAGTGTAATGGAGGCATTAAAAAAGTATTTATACTTTTTTAATGCCTCCATTACACTTGGTTGTAAACCAAGTTGTAATGGAGGTTGGCTATGTAACATAACCCTTATTTTGTATCAATTATTGATGCAAATTGATGTTAACAATGATAGTTGACTGTGGAAAGATTTTTTAATTATTTTGTATAAATTATTGAGGCAAATTGTGTTAACAATGATAGTGTACGACCAATCATCCACCCAATCTCCAACCACTATATTAATATTGGTATATTAATGTTCTTGAATCCACTATAAATAGGAGTAGTAGTCTGAGGAGAAAGATACACCAGAAGAAAGAAAAGAACAGAGGAAAAAGAGAGAAAAGAAAGAGAAAGGAAAAAAAAGAGAGATATATGTCCAAATATCGGATATAAAAATATCAAAAGTGAAGAAACAAATGATATTTTTATTTGTTTTAAGATATTCCTTTATTTTTAAGTGCTCAATTCTCGATTTCGTTCCCGTTCGCCGGAGCTCGTAAATTTGGTGTGCTACAAATTTAGAGACGTTTGCCGTTGTATCTTTGGGGAAGTTACACATGAACCGTTAGCACCACACGGGCGTATTCTTCTTGCGGAAAAGTTTACACATCTGCTAAAATCTTTCCGCTTTTCAGTTGTAATTTATTTTTTCAGTTCAATTGTAATTTTCTATTTTAGATTATATGTAAGAACTGAAAAATACATATCAGCTCGTAGGATTTCCGTATAATTTCTCACCAAGTATCCAACACATGTAACATACTAGTAAAAACTCTAATAAGAATCAGGAAATAAATTGTTGTAGTGATGGTCGAGAAAGGTATTCTTTTTCTGTGGTATAAGTATTCTTTGTTTTAAAGAGTCGCATATGCGAATATAAAAGCCATCTAATTCTTTTTCCAAATATTTGAAAGGAAAAGAAGGAGTAAAGATGAGAGGATAGATTGAGACACACGTGAACCTTTTCAGCTACACTCCCCCTTCACATCATCACATGCACACAAAAAAAAAAAAAAAAAA